AACTCACTTATTTTTGGCAACATGTTAACAAACATATTTTGGTTTAGTATATTATTAGTTTTCATGGTGTATAATGTAAATATTTTTATTCAGCATATCATTATTTTTCATTGTGTGTATGGGATGCTAATCCGCGTCCTTTAATGTGTTCTTGGTTTTAACCTTATATTTTTGTATATTCTGGTGGGTATAGTACAAGAGTCATGCAGGGTAAAAATGCGTATTGGCTTTATATTTTTTGGTATATTTGATATTCTGATAAATTCATTCCACAGTGAATCTTATACTATTTTTACAAATTTCGGATACGTCTGGATTTAATAAATAGTTCTGTGGTTTACATAACATGGTCGAACATTTTACCCTTTTTAGTCCCTTTTTTATTCTCGTAGTTTTAATATTTTATAAGCCGTAAAATGTTGTAATATTTATAGACATACATTTTTTTGTAAATTTGTTACAATTATTTTATTACAATTAAGCAACAAATGGAAGCGTAAAGCAGTAAGTCAGTAAATCTTTGCTGATAGTTAAAAACGTATAGATACAAAAATTTGTGTACAAGCAATATATTTTTGTTGTTGAATTTCAGTTATAGTTATGGCCTATAACCCTAAAGGGTTAATGTCGGGCATAATTAGACCTACATATCGGTAAGCGGATTAGCCAAAAGTACGGGTAGGTCTAGATGGAACGGCCAAGTCAATCTGACTCTTTTGGAGTCAACAATCCCAAGAATGAGCTTGTGCACGAACATTACCCCATAACATATTCTGCGATGGTGCAACGACGACAGGTCAATTAGATTTAGTCTACCCCGGTAGGGTGGCAAGATTCTACCCGAGTCCCAGTGAAAGTTACGAGGGGCAAAAATTAAAAATTGCTTTTGCACAGATTCAATAACAACCTGCTGCTCTTTATACTGCGGGCTCCACACACAGAAACAATACTCCAATATCGGACGTACTAATGATATATACAGTTGTTTCGTTACGTACGGGTCGTCAAACTCCTTGGACCAACGCTTGATGAACGCTAAAACACCCTTAGCTTTATTTACAGTTGCAGCTATATGGGTGTTAAAACACATCTTATGATCAAAAAGGACTCCGAGGTCACTTGAACTCGAAATTCGCTCACGGACGAGATTTCCTAAAACATATGAGACAAAATGTGGAGCATGACGGTAAAATGTAATAAGTTTGAATTTAGAAAGGTTCAGAAAACGAAGATTAGTTTAACATGCTCCACAAGAGTAGTTCACCTAGATCCAGTTGAAGGCATGTGTGCAAGTACCAATCAGAGTAAGGCAGACAGATTTTAACATCATCAGCATACATTAGTGTAGTAGAGTATGTTGTAACTTGAGTAAAGTCATTCACAAATAAAATAAACACAAGCGGGCCCAGATGACTTCCCTGTGTCACTCCTGAAGTAACATTAACAATATTTGACAACACATTACAAAAAAAAACACGTTGATTACGGTTAGAGAGATTGGACAGAATCCAATCTAGAAGATTCGATGTACATCCAAGCCACCGGATGGGACTGCCCTTAATCCTGCAGTAGTCTGCTCTCACGGTTCAGGCAACGAGATGGGGCACATGCCCACGCGGCAACACAACGGACCTTCTATAGGTCCAAGTGAGCTCGGGGCGGGAGGCTTACATCCCCCCTCCCGGCTACCGCCTTAACCTAACCTAACCTAGATTAATTAATCATTATTCTTGATAAAAAAAAAAAAACTCAAAAATAATGATTATCTATGATTTTTATTTTTTTCGCTTAAAATAAAACTCAACAGGAATTTACAGCTTCTGTGCTAGAATGTTCGCCAATATTATCGCATATCCTTGTCAAAGGACCACAAAGCTACACCCTGTGCTAAAATTTTCTTTTTGAAAATACATTAAAATGTTTTGTTATTTTTGGTTTTGTTGTCGGAAATACGTTTAATTAGTTGTCAAATATAATGATTATCTGTGAAGAAAATCGTAAAAAATCAAAAGTTTACAAATCATGGCGGCAATGCAGAGATTGTACAAAAATAAAGATTTTGGTGTAAATAGTGTTTTTCTAGGTCCATTAAAAGCAAGAGATTTTTTTATTAAAAAAAAAAAATGATTATTTACGGTCCCTGGTTATTACGCTGCGATATTATATTTTTATTAAACACTTGTTTACAAACGAAACACTGGTGATTAACATAAATTATAATCAATATAAAAGAGATTCGATGATATATTTCCTATTAGACTGACTAGAAATGTTATACCGTTGTTCCTTCCACTTTGTAGATCGAATTATTCCTTGCATGAACCGTTTAGGGTCATATGCTCGGATTATAATTCCCTCTACCATATTATATCCAACACTAATTCTCTTCCTCTTATTAAATTATTAATCCTTGCACACCTTTCTATTTATTAGTAACTGTAGTGGTATTTTATTTTAAGTTTGATTGCATGCTTAGTTTCTTAGTAAGTTTAGTGCTACTTTTCCTCGAATGTTAGTCTAATAGCTATCTTTCTTGCATGTTGGCGTTTGGTTCGGCTAGGCACCGCGCGTCATGCGGCAGCGCCCCTCGGTCGGTTGGGCGGGAGGAGGGCTGCGTTTTGCCTGGGATCCGCGCGTAGCAGCCTTCTGCTGGTTTCACACGGGCCACTTGACGGTGCAGTAACTGCGACGCCTCTTGAAAGATGCAGTCATTGCATGTCAACGTCCAAATATACCAAAACAAAATTACAACAATGTTGTATGATATTTAAACAAGAGGCAGAGAATTCAGGAGCAAGAAAAACACGACCGGCTTAAGCAAGAGCTTGAAGCGAATTGACAAAATAATATTCTAAGAATAAGTAAGATTACTTCAGAGTGCCGAAGCTTTATATCGATAATATTTCTATCTAATGTTTACCATTTTAGTTTTAATTGGCTGAGATGTAAAAAATAAGAAATGTAACAAAAAAAGCAAATAGATCAAATCTAATATATAACGAGAGGGAACGTTGTGAGTTGCTGCTGCGACCGCAACTTTACATTTATACCCGGGACTTAGTCAGTAACGCTCTCCTAGGGCAGACGGCGCTAGCATTGAAAAAGAGTGCATGCGAGAGCGACAGAAAATCAGTCCGAACGTGTCGTCGGGCTCTGCGTATCGACCGAAAATTGATTTGTCACTTTTGGCTAAAATAATAATCCGATCTGATCAAGATTCGTCATCCTGGTAGATATGGTAATTTTCTATGATTGTGCGTTTTTCCCGTATCTTCTAAGCTGTGGATGCCACAGATTGTCCTTTGTGGGGGCGGAAGGGGGTCATATGCCCAGACAAGATGAACGACCTAAATCGTCTTGTGAAAAGGTTCACGGAAGCATGCAACAAAGCCTTCACGGCACCATTCCCCCAAACAAACCAAGGGGTAAAAAGATGGCCCCCTGGTGGTCAAAATCAATAGGCATCCTTCGTAAAATCTGCAGGACTTTCTCCTACAGAGCTAAAAGCGATACTGTGGAGAAACAATGGGTAGACTATAAAATCAGAAATATACAAAAAAGAAAATAAAAAAAGGGCCTCTTGATGGTACGTGGACCAACTCCAGTGAGGAGTCCCCACACATTCTATTATATACTCATTTCCCCGGGTATACAACCATCCTAAAGAAGGATCGGTAGCTTCGATGGAATACATCCGTCAAAAACAGAACAGCTGGGCAGTAAAACAGATTCTAACCGTTTAAATCGCCAGGTCCGGACGAGGTGCTGCAAAGTAGCGGCATACGCGGACGACGTTGCAATTATCTATTCTGCGGGGAAATACCCGCAAACACTCTGCGACTTAATAACATTAAAGCTTGGCTCGAAAACGAAACTAGTCTTATTCTCCTTCAGCGACAGTGCCCATTACTTAGGGTTGTTAATTGACAAAACATTTAGTGTCAAAGATAGAGTGATGAAGGCAACGACAGCGCTCTACACATGCAGAAAAGGGATTGGCTTAAAATGGGGCATGAACCCAAGCATAGTCCAATGGGTAAAGTTCAGCGAACTGGAGCTTTTCGCAGTACTCCAAATAGTGCGCTCAATACCATTTTATGCCTACAAAGCCTTGAACTTGCAGGAAAAGAGCGGGCAGATATGGGTACCACAGCACATAGGTCACTCATCCACACTAAATAACAGCAACATTGTCCCAGCAAAAACGGACTATCAAGTTCCAATAGAGTACACAGATTCTCCCATCAATACAATCATCCTTCATAGAGACGATTGGCTCGAGGGACTTCCAGGCCCAGAGGGGTCCCTAAACATATTTATAGACGGATCGAGGCTGGACAATAAAGTCGGAGGAGGACTCTACTCCGAACAGCTAGACATACGTTACTCCTTCAGGCTCCCTGACCACTGTAGTTTCTTCCAAGCAGAGGTCATATCAATCAAGGAAGCTCTGAACTGCCTTCATGCAGCTGCCGTTACGGCAACTCGAAAAAACACTTATGGTGACAGCCAAGCTAAGTGCGACTAAAGCTAAAAGCGATTCCCTCGAACTCGGCCACCGTGGCAGACTGCCGCAGATTTCATTACAAAATGGCTCAGCAATTTGCTATCAGCGTTATATGAATCGGGCCACCAGCTCATTGAGAGCAACTGTATAGCAGACGAGTTGGCCAGATCTGGTACTAAAATCCCCCCTCTCCAACATAAGGAGGATATTCGTATACCAATGGCCACCTGTAAGCTAATCATAAAATAACAATACAAGCGAATAATATACGATAGTTAGCGATCAGCGTCATGTTGTCACATAACTCGCAAACATGGCCGACAATAGATAGGAAGCGCACCTCTGAGCTCTGCAAACTTGGCAGAAAGAGGTGCAGCGCAGTGATGCGTTTTCTCACAGAACATTAACAATAAATTGTTAGAAATACTTAAATAGTAGAAAAAAAAAAAAAAATTATACCTGTCATTAGGGAAGAATTTAATCAAAATAATAATTCTTTATCCAAAAACCTGTTTTATATTTACCACTATTACATAGAAATCATACAAATATGTATATCATACATTTATATCTCTAACAACTTTTCTTTATGATCACGTATACGCTTCTTGTCATATATGGGCTATTGTGGTAGGCGTGGTCAAATGATTTATCAAATATATTAAGTTTCAGCTCGATATCTGCTTTATTCGTCTTTATGCAACGGGCCGAAACCGGCCTAAGTGTGACGGGCTCCGAGCGAGCTTTGAGCCGCCTCTACCTAATCTTTCATGCCAAAATGTTCCATCCCCGCACTCCACTTCAACATGCGTGTATTTTTTTTTATATGGCTAGAAAATACTAAAATAACAATACTACAATATAACAAATAATAAATAACATAAATATATTTATTAAACTCACAACCACCAGTATCCACTGCCTCCATTTTGTATTGTTTCAGGTGTATTTTTGGCTTTTTTTGGCCTTGAAAATTTTTAAATTTAAAATAGGATTAGAAATATGTCTAAGCCCGAAATATTTTGTATTGCCATTTATTGTTTTTTAGGGTTGCATTTGAAAACCATCGGCTAAATATCGTTATCGTTCGTTCTCTTTTCTTACCGCGATTGCATGCCTTTTACAATGTGTAAAAACGTAATTGAATTATTTTTTCGTGCGTCGGCTTGTGCTTTCTTTAAGAACGCTCATCCAAGTGTCCCCTGCTGAAAAAGGCCTCGTGGGTGATGCTATCGCTAAACGTAATGGTCTGCATTGCAGTAGCAGAAGTTTAATTTCTCCAATGCCAGGGAGATAGCCTCATTTAAGATAAGCGTCTTTAAATTAAAGAGTTTAAGGTTAAGAAGAAGAATAGGCCCTCCATAAACCTCCCAAATCAGCCCAACGTGCCATCAAAATCTTTCCATCAAATCTTTCCACTCAATCAAAAAACTAACTTTCCTGCTATTAACATACCAAAATGTTAGAGGCTTACGCAGTAAGCTCGACATTCTTTTTTGAGATAGTGTTGCATTTGCATGTTGTTGTGCTTACCGGGACCTGGCTAACACCGGACATTCTTAGTTGCGAAGTGTTGTCAGGCGGGTACACAACTTTTAGAAAGTGGACTCAAACTTCACGTCGGAACACGTCCAGGAACCAGCACATTCCAATTCATCGCTCCCACAGGCTACCGATTTACTTTTGAAATCAAATAAATTGGGGCTCCCGTTTTCACATTCTGCAAGATTTCTTTGTTTTCAAAACGAGAACATTTTCGTTGACGAAATGAAAAGTAAACAGCTTTTTATACAACAAAACGAAAGGAAAAAGGAAAAAAATAGATGAATAGATAAACCTGACGCCTATATCAGGGTAATTCATTTTGTGCTTTCTTTATAAATAATTTTATTTTAACCAACCTCAAATTTGCCTCGGAAAAAATTGGCCAGGTCAACAACAATTTTCGTTTTGGTGCAAACAGCTGAGGCAGTCCGATTTGGTTATCGAAACGTTGGAAAGAAATAAATTTTGGCGTATAACATCACAAATGCGCATGTAACAGCTCAGACTGTGAGTAAAATGCGGTTAACAGAACATCTGTTTCCCACCCCATTTAATTTGGACTTTAAAATATAAGTGCAGCAAATTAATTTTTTATTTCAAAATTACAGTTTATTATTATATCCAGGAGAAAGCATATTGGCAATTTAATTTTCAATTTGCATGCCGTTACTAACAGTTCGTCAGACATGTTAAATACACAATTGTTGCATCTAAGATGTCTGGATCTTCTTGGATCACGTAATTTCTGCCGTCGTTTTGCTTCAAAACAAGTAATTGAAAAAATAAAAGGCATTTTAATCACGCTGTATTCTTATAGGCTATTCACACTGACGACCATCCACCATCCATTTCGGGGATGGTCCGTAAGGATTTGCCGTTCCGAAAATTTCCCAGTTAGTCCACCATCCATTTTGGATGCTCCTAAACCGCACGTTTCTATGCGATAGTTAGCAGATGGTATTCAAATGCAACTCTGAATAGTTTTCATTCACAACGAAATAATGGTATACACTGCGAAAACGTAAACAATGATTATGACAAAAAAAAAAACAACAATCATGCCCAATGGCTCGGATGCATTCAAGGCTGGCGATGAGATTGAATGCGGCATGGCCTAGTCTGCCAGGCTGAAGTTGCAAGTGTGTGGCGAATAAATGGCGGACGACTGCCAACATAGAACAAATATTTGTATGCTCTGTAAATGCTTTATGTTAAGCATAATTTATTCTTTAATAATGAGTTTTTTTCGAGTTGGATGGATGTAGTCTGGACGGATCATGTAGCTCCAGCACCTTTTCTGGCAACAAAGGCCCCCGCCAAAGCGAACCAAAAAAGTAGACACTTGGATGGCAGAGATCGCCAGAGAGCGATTCGAAGAGCAGAAGGACCTTCACAGTAGAGTTGTGTTGCTCATGAGTGAGTGAACAAAAAAGATTTGTTCACTTAAGTGAGCCACTGAACATGTTTCTTCAAAGCTGTTCTTTTTTGTTCACTTGTTCTTTGTTGTTCACTTGTTCTTTGTTGTTCACTTGTTCTTTTTTGCTCACTTGTTCTTTGTTGCTCACTTGTTCATTTTTGTTCACTTGTTCTCTACTTTTTGCGCAATTTTGCTCCTCAAAGGGTATTTTGCGATCTGGCAGCTGTTGCTCATATTTGCGCTTACTTCACACTTTTTGTATTACCGGCAAAGCTGTTTACTCTTTCAAAAATTCAGTATGTAGCTAATTCGAATGTATAGTGAAATTTGGAATGATCTGTGCATGAATAGTGAACAACTGAGTGAGCAAGTCAGCAACTGAGCAAGTGAGCAACTGAGCAATCTAAGAGCAAGTGAGCAATTTGAGTGAGTTGACTCACATACTAAAAACGAACAAGTTAACATGTTCACCAAAACGAGCAATGTTTACCCAACACTACTTCGCAGGAAGAAGGAAGAACATGATATGAGCCAGGAAAAGATAGCCTCCTCCACACGCAAAAAAAATTCCAGAATGATTTATTAGAAGTGCTGAGAAATATAAATAAATAAGTTTATAATTTGCATTATAGTCTAAACAATATTTTGCGATTGCAGAACGTATCTGTTCTGCTGACTTATTAAAATCATCAGAACTGTTGCTGGTATCGGGCTGTTCGCGTATTGTTCAGGCCAGCAGGAGATGATTGCCGCGCACTGTGCCAACGCCGGGCTCTCCGGTCCCAACTTGCGCTCGCGGGCTCGGAGGGGCGCTCGGGAGGTCTACGATTCACAGGTCACGATCCACACGGCGCTCAAGCCAGCATAGAGCATAGATCATAAGCCTTAGAAGTTAGTTACGTTTTCACCCCCGATTCGAACAGCCGAGCTACCGCGCGACCCCCCGAACGGCTACTAGGAGGTTTCACTGGACAATCATTATCGTCTGGAAGAATTGAGCTTCGTCCGCCCCACTACAAACATTGGTCCTTCGAGCCGGATCTTCGCCTGAACAAAAGGAGAAGTCTACCCCAGCAAGCACCGGCGGATAGTTCCCAATTTCCAAGATAAGTACGGATCCCCCATCTGCCCATCTCCAGTGGCTCCTCTCCTCCTGGTCCCAGTCGGCTGGACATATTCATATATACATAAGTGCCACTTCTTTTCTTCCACCGTTCTACCGACGGCGCCATATTATCGGCAATTCTGGACGTTCTGCGCTTCTTCGAGTGCTCCTAAACATCCACATTCCGAATAAAAACGGTCGTGCTTATAGTTCCGTTGTCGGTTCAACCAATTCTACCGCAGTGATTTTAAAATAATTCACCCGCAGCAAGCCTAATTTTATCCGCCGACTAATACGCCAACCCCCGTATACACATACACATCGGCATATGTACATGTACATATGTATGTACCGCTTTAGCTCCAAAAATTAAACCATACTTCGTTCTGCCAATGCTTGTGGCCTCCTACTTTTCCAAAGGTTTAGTTTGATCCGAGACAGCTCCTGCATTCCGCCTCCGATCCAGTGCTTACATTCATATACATACGTATATCTGTCTGTCATTAATATTCCTACCTCTCCCAGACACCAGCTGAGTTTCCGTGGCTGACATATGCACAGGAATACAAATATACATACATATGTGTAAGCACATATTTTTGCAGCCACCTGGTTTATTCCGTGCATGCCAATGGTCCATAGTTTTTTTTATTTTAAAAATACATACACATATAAAACAACAAACGAATCAATACGTACGGCACATATTTACTTACATATACTTACGCATTTTTTTGAAAGTAGCATATTCTTGCATAGCTAAATATATATATATATGTATATTGTATATAAATCGGTTACTCCGTTTTTTTTACCCGTTGTTTCAATCTCATCAAAAGGCGGGCTCGTTAATCCAAGCCTCGATACCTAGCACTTGCATCCATACACACACACACATACAAGCAACAGCAGCGGTGCATTCTTTTCGTCTTTCCTTTCGCTTTCGCTTCTCCACCGTTTTTTTGCTTCGCACAATGACTTGCCATCCCCATCTACATAGAAAACCCAAGGTTGGCTCCAGTGGAAAAACTGTTCCACCTCAACAAAAAGACCAGCGGTGAGGCCCACGTCATAGTGGCACAGGCTCCACTCACGAACGAGGGTTTCGCGTTCACATGGAGCGCCCTCCGTGAGCGCTTCCTGAACAAGAGGCTGATACTCAAAGCCCAGCTGAAGATCCTTTTCAGTCTGCCCCAAATCCGCACCGAGTCAGCTGCAGCGCTAAAAGAGCTTCAGAGGGCCGTCCACAAGTGCCTTACGACACTCAACCACTCCGAGGTCTCCACAGGCAGCATTTTCACTGACGGAGTGTTAGTGTACCTCATATCCGCGAAGTTGCCGAAAGCGACCTTGGAGCTTTGGGAGCAATCCGTGACACACAAGTCCGAAATTCCCACCTGGCACGCTATGGACAAGTTCCTCAGTAGACTTGGGCCCACTCCAGGGCGAGTCTACCCATGTCAGAGAGTTCAAAGGGCAATCCCAACCCATTCCGTTCCCAAGGGAGCCCTTTACAAGGCGGGTTCACTCGTTCGGAACAACTGTGGATCCGAAGCGGAGAACGTGTGCTTTTTGCTCCAAAGAGAACCATACGATCCGGTATGCCCTCAATTCCTTAAGATGAGACCTGATGCTCGCTCCAGCTATATTAAGCAAAAAATGCTTTGCTTAAACTGTTTCGCAAAAGGCCACCAGATTCGTGAATGCCAAAGCGCCCACAACTGCACACGTGTGGAGATCGGCATCATACGCTGCTGCACTTTGGCACTCCAGTTTCCAGCCAATCCGTGTCCAATTCCGTAAAACTTCCGACTCCTGCCGAAGCTCAGCCTAGCGTTCAGAACTATTTCGCCTCCAGCAAGAGGGCGGTACTCCTGGGCACGGCTATTATTAATATTTGCCACTTGGGGACAAATTTTCGCGCCCGCGCTCTAATCGACCTGGGCTCCGAGGTGACGTTCATTACGGAACGTCTCTTCCAGATCATTAAGTTGCCATTCCGACTCGCCCAGGCACAGGTCTCGGGCCTCAATCAGACGATATCCGCTCAGTCCAAGAAGCTCTGCCATTTCTACATCCGCTCCCCGACTAAGCCGGGCTTACACTTGGACGCCACAGCCTATGTCCTGCTGGAACTATCAGGCAGCCTTCCTTCCCATCCGATCCCGCAACAATCGTTGCGAGACTTGTCGAACCTGCAATGGGTTGCCAAAGCCAAAGCTCACAAATAGATGCCCTGATTGGTGCCGACATCCTTCCATCCATCCTCTTGAGCGGCTCACAGACGAACATCTGTGGATCTCTCCTCGGACAGGAAACCATTTTCAGGTGGGTTCTTACAGGCACCGTGCCAAACACGGTACAAGGCAGGGTCGCATCCTTCTCCACGCAAGTTTCCACAGAGCTAGAGACTCCGTTAGACAAACTCCTCACAAAGTTTTGG